GAAAAGACTTGTAACTACTGAACTTTGAACATTTTTCCGTGTGTTACGTTGTGTAATTCGTTCAATACGTGTCCATCATGGAGTGTTTGGGACAAATCGAGGCTGTAAAGGAAAAAATTAAAACTGCGTCTGTAGCTGCGATAAGGTCTTTGCATAAATTCATCTTCCATGATGAAGGAGATCGAAGTAATCGCAAAAGGGTGAGAAATTTTGAAGGTTTTGCGTTTGCCATTGATTCGGAAGAATATACAGCGCAATTAGAATATGCCAGACGGTTAACTACCGGTGATCTTATTTCAAGTTGTAACGTTTTGGGCATTGATTTTACGGGAAGTAAAGAAGAAATAATAGTACGTATGTGCAGCGCTCTAATGGATTTGAATCAGTTAGTAAAACCGAATGATGAAGAGGAAGAGAAAGAGGGTGAGGAAGATGATGATAAAAATGCTGCTGATGAAATGGGAAACGACAGTGGTAGTGAACGTGATATCGAAGTAACCCCAGCACGGCAACAAGAAAGAGACGTTAATTTTGCTTTCGGTTTTAAAGATATGGAAAACACGTTGCGCACTTTCGATGGTAGTAACGCGTATCCGGTGGAAAAGTGGATAGAAGATTTTGAAGAAGCGGCTGAAATCTTTCAATGGACAGAATTACAAAGATTAATATTTGCTAAAAGATCTTTATCGGGGTTGGCAAAGTTATTTATTCAGAGTGAGCGTGCCATTAATTCGTGGTGCAAATTGAAAAATGCGCTAAAAAAAGAATTCGTCTCTAAAGCGAACAGTGCACAAATTCATAAGATGTTGTCCAAACGAAAACTCCTCGCATGAAAGTGTGCAAGAATATTATTTGACAATGAAAGAATTGGCTGCAAGAGGTTCCGTCGAAGAAGAAGCTTTGATCCAGTATATCGTGGACGGTGTAGTAGACGATACACCTAATAAATTTATTCTATTTGGTGCTACCACTTTGGAAGAGGTGAAGAAACGCTTGGTTACATACGAGGAGGTACGGAAGAAATGCCGAGAAAGAAATTATTCTTACAAGAGGACGACGCAGGCAAACAAGGAATCTTTCACGAACCAGAAAATAGCAGAACAACCCGCCAATACCAGTAAGATAAGTAAAAGCGAAGTACGTTGTTTCATTTGCGGTAAGAAAGGACATCAAGCAAATAATTGAGAAAATAAATCTTTAGGTCGAAAATGTTTCAAGTGTCAATCTCACGGTCATATAGCGTCTAACTGTCCGACTATTAAAAATGAAAATGTAACTAATGTCCCGCGAATGAATAATATTGCCATAGTTCCTTCAAATAATATGACTAAGGAAATTAAAATTCATAATAAATGACTGAGGAAATTAAAATTGACAATGTTTCTCTAAATGCATTGATTGATACGGGAAGCCAGCTTACCATAGTTCGCAGAGGAACTGCATTCACATCTAAAGAATTTGTTGATTACTCCGTTACAGAAAATATTAAACTTTCAAATATTACTACAGGTTTACCTCGTGCTAACGGTCAAGTTGAAAGATTAAATCGCACAATTATTTCTGTTTTATCTAAACTAACATTAGATGATCCTGCTAAGTGGTATAAGTTTATAGGCGATATTCAAAGAATAATAAATAATACTTACCAGAGAAGTATAAATACGACACCGTTTGAATTACTTGTAGGAACGAAAATGAAAACAAAAACGGACATAATGCTAAAAGAGTTAATAGAAGCGGAATTTATCAATGATTTTAACGATGCTAGGGAGAAATTGAGACAGGAAGCAAATAAACAAATTGTAAAAGTGCAGGAGGAGAATAGAAAAACGTATAACTTGCGTAGAAGACCGGCTAGTGTGTATAAAATAGGCGATTTGGTGGCAATAAAGCGTACACAAATTCAACCGGGAAGTAAATTAAAACCGGCATATTTAGGACCTTATCAAATTAGTAAAGTGAAAAACAATAACACATATAACGTTATTAAAGTAGGTTATTGCGATGGACCGAAGACGACAACAACTTGCGCACAATATTTAAAGCCATGGGCGTTAATTAATTTGGCATCCGAGGCGGATGAACTATAGGATGGCCGAGTTGTAGGATTATTTCCACGTGCTGTCATGGTTTTTTCCATAGAATGACCGTTAACATGGGTTTTTTTCCGTTGCGGGTCAATCGTGATTTTGCGTTCTTGCGAATAGCTTAGACGGAAAGCAGTGCCGTCCGAAGTGTTGTGTGTCTTTCTTCGTGTGTCTTTCTTTGTGTGTATTCTTAAATATATATTGTTAATCTCTCTTTCTTTTATTAAAACGTGCTCGAGTGTTATTTCTCCTTACCCTCCTATCCTACAATTATATACAAAATGTAGGAAACCTGCAATGAGTAGTGTTGCAGATATGCCACGTACCAATCAAATACACAATAGCGTCATCTGTTCGTTTTAATTTGAATCAACCGCTTTCAAGATATTTTGTTAGTTGATAACTTTTGGTAAAATTAGAAAATCATGCATTTAAGGGCTAAGTACCACAATTAACTCTCTCTGAAGAACTTATCAGTTTTTGTATTCCATATCATGCTAAACTGTATTATGAACTCATATATAATGTGTTTTTCATCTATAATGAATGGTTCATTTTTCTGTAAAATAAGTATTGTAATATTTAAATTAACTCCTCTTATGCAAAACAGAAAATACAGCAATAGTACTGTGTCTGAATATTGATGCGAGTAATTGTATATAAATGGTGTATGAAAGAAAATTTTCTAACGTAACCAATGAAAACAAAAATTATACTACATAGTTCTATATGTTACTTGATGCTTTAGTATTTATTTACTTCTCTTTTCATTTTATTTTTCATTCTTCGATAAACGAGCACTTAATGTCGGTAGTTCTAGTGTTAAAACAAATCATTGTTACATATATTGCACTGCTTTTTTGCTAAGGTATTTCTTGTATACATTTAGGAATCTGCAGGTAGTTGTGTACTATATGTGCAAAGTATCTGCTGACACGAGTTTGTAAAAGATTAAAAATAACTGAAAAATGCTACCTTCGTAATATAACATCAATGAATAAATTTAATTACACAAATTTTAAAAACAAAAGTGAAATATGAAGTAATTTACAGGACCATGGGACAAAGCAAGTGAGCTACTACATTTATATCAATTCATAACGTAATAAAAATAAAATTGAATTAGGCGTATTAAATCACTTAAAAGTTTTCAAAAATTTTGTTTTGTAATGTCATAGATTTCTTATTAATACGATATATTTGGAATGCTAGTCTACACTAATATTTAATTTCGTTTATTGACAGTACTATAGTCGATAAAATGTAATTAATCTTCGATTGTTGGTTTACTCTCATTCGATTTATGCGAGATCAATACATTCGAAATAATTTAATTTTGTTCTTTTATCGTGATAAAACGAAGTTCAATTAAATTTCAAATTACGGATCTCTTTAATAAGGATTAAAGCCATCCGAATATCAATTAAGTCTTCCTGAAAATCGTGCAGATCGAGTAATTGTTTATTTCAACTGAGCATTATTTAATGAAAACACGATATGCAATTAAGGGAACTGATCATTTATCCTGTTTGTTACGTCGTGGACAAAATAGTCAATTTTTTATGATGAAAGAAACTTTCTTGAATGCCCACTTTACACGCAGAATTAACGGCGAGTGAATATTTGAAATAATGGATAGTGAATATGTTTAAAGTAAAATGTAACACTTATTATATTTAATAGAAAACTACAAGTAATTTTAAAGTACAAAGTTTTTATAAATTGGATCGGATGGCACTTATTGTTACAGTATTATTTAGATGTTATTCGTATGCTAGTATGTTTTGATCTGTGTGTTCTCGTAAATATTTCTATTGAAGTTAACTTTTTCTTATAGTGGGGGCTTCTTCTAACGATGTTTCTGATTGGTTGTTTGGATTTTTCTATATTTTTGAGAAATGGCATATACTTGGAGGGGACTACTGTTTGACCCAGGTAGATTTTCTGGAGCTTAGAGGTCTAGGACGATGACGATTGTAAATTTTTTGGACTTTCCCAAGTGTGTAAACCGGTGACCTTTTTTATGGCATCTATAGTAATAATGTATATTGCTAAATTTTTTGACTTTATGGTCTTAGGATGTTTCTTCGAAATATGGTTTTCAAAATTGCCCTACCTGGACAGTTAATATTTGTTGCTTTGGGAGGTCAGGGGTCATCTAAACGAATTGCGAATTTTTATTATTTTTTGTTACGCAGTGACATTATTGTAACCTATTACTTCCTTTTGTAAGGCTCATATTTATCAGTGAATATTGTCTTATCTCCTAATAATAGAATCTTATACTTTAATCCAACAATATTAACAATATTAACAATAAATAAGAATAAATGTACTGGCATATAATTTACATGTAATTTACATGTAAATCATCGATCAAGCGTAAATAAATATACACATTAATTTTTTATTTACATAAAAATCAATACTGATTTTAAAAAAACGTCTGAAGAGACTTTTTAATTTAAAATAAGAAACTTCTGAACCAGTCATTTAATGAATTTGCTAATTTTAATTGTCACTGTTACGTTCCGGATGGTACCTTTGCTGATATCAATATGAAGGTCCGGAATCGCTCTTGAATTGACAATCTTTTAGACCACGCGGTACGTGCGCCCGTCGTATGTCAGGGATCCCAGGGTGTACAAGGGTGTACACACTACTTACCCGAAGCTTCCTCCTTAACTTTTACAATAGATTTCTCGTCTCGGATCCTTAGGTAGTAGATGCTTCACTATGATCTTCTTCACAGGTATATCAATAGGTAATAACTGATACTTAACTTCGCGGATAACTGGTCGCGGAGTAGGAGCTAGACAGGGTAGGTATAAGGTGCGTAGGATCTTACGTAGTTGGTATCTACGACCTCCTCCTCCTAAAAATGCAGAGGCATCAAACACATCATATGCGCACCGTGTGGCTATGTCTCGCACCACCATGGTGATGTGGATTACCTATCTCGACTTCGCAATATAATTGATCTCGTGCAGCTATGTCTCGCACCACCAGATCCAACGTAATCGAGTATACGTATTTTAAATAATCAAAAGCTCTTAAAGAGATCTCGGGTTTATGGGAAATGATTAAAGGCGAAGATAACTAAATATAAAATATATTCAATACTTAAGACGATGTCGGAATATAACTGATACAAATGAACTTAGAGTTATAATGTATAAATGAAACGCGTAGTTTAAAGTTGGTAGGAAATGGGTGGAATTAGGATGGAAACTAGCAGAGTCCAGCACGAGGGGATCGGACCTTGGTGACTAGTGGGACTGCTACTGCTCGCAAGGCTACTCGAACTGGGCTTTTTATATTGCTCGGTGGTGTCAGAAGAGAAGATAAAGGGAGATTAGTTATGATCTGTTATTGTCTGGAGATTGCGTGATGTAAATAGAGGTTCGCGGAATTAGATAGGGATGTTTATAGCAGAATGTTTAGGTTAAGATAAAGAGTGAACTTGAGGGCCTAGGAATAAAGGAATGCTAGGAGTAAAGGAATGTGAAACTTATGTTATTTTATTTATAACGCACGCGGGACTGTGTCTTATAACTAATTATGTCAGAAACGCAATATATATACACATATATATGTGCTTAATAATAATAATAATAACCCTTAGACAAATAGTCCTTAAGCAACTAGATCAAACGTCGTCGCACGACGTCACAGTGTTCTTCCTTCAGGAACCAGGTAGATGAGGTTTACGCCACCCTTTAAAACATTAAATACAACTTCATGTTTTTAT